GCCACACTTTGACACTTACAGCCATGGTCTTTAGAATGACAACAATGTGGCACTGTCTAGAAGTATCTAAATAAATATTAATAAAAAATCCCTAGGTTCTTCTCTTTTTTAATTACTACCAGGAGCAAATAGTGCCTCAGAATTACTTATTAACGAATGAAGTGTCAAACTATTTCATTTTTYAGCAGCATGATAGTTTTTCCCGTTTACCATAAATAAATGGGGCTTGAAGGTTGTCAGGAAGATTTGGAATGCATAGCATGCTAGGAGATGTCTTGTTTCTGGCTGTGGTCTCCTTAAGGCGAGTTCTGTCTGGTGATTAGCATCATCTTGGATTAAATTAATTGGCTATACTCAAGCCCTGGGTAGACAYGCTAAGAATAAATCCAGAGATATTAGTTCCTTCGCATGAAACAAGCAGGTTACATATCCAGTGAAATTTATGTGAACTACACAAACAACTTAACCTAGTCTTTTCTTATCCTCAAGCTCTGGTAAGTACAAAACTATTTGAAATATTTCTTTGGGTGAAAATAACCTCCTTTTTTTTTGCTAGTTTTATTTAATTTTTTATTTTATAATCTAAATTACATGACTGTGTTCTGTCCTTAACCAGTAGAAAAAGTATAAATGTTCCTAATAATTATTGTCTTTTATTGCCAGCAACCTTTGCAATATGCTGCTAGTGAAGAGAGAACTTCACTATTAGGAAATCAAGTGATTCTAGTTTATTCAAATATGAGTAAAGCTTATTTTTTTTGTCATTATAAAATCACTATAGACTCAGGGTAGAAATCTGTGAAATACATTAGAGAAAAAGGAAGCTGATTGTAATTCAACAGTACTGTGATCATCACAGTGAAGAACTGGTGTGTACATCTTTCTGAACCTCCTTCTCCTAATTCCCATCCAATAGAGTTTGAAAAGTTTGTGAAATGAACTATTTTTTCTTACATCGAGTCTCTGAATTACCGTAAGAATGAATATTTTGAATGTATCAGTTTTCTATTTTGTTTTCTGAATTGCCTGATTTTCTACTATGTGGAAGAAAATTATATTTAAACACCATTAGTAAAATGGCATGTGAACTTTGTAGATCTTTAATTGTAGGTCAAGTGAGTATGAGAGCAAAGCCGTAGCCCTGTAAGTAGAGGTAGCTATTTTGTTCTGAGCTGCATGGTCAAATACATTATTGATTGACACCCACCCACAAGGGCATAGACAATTATATTCATAGTTGAACACAATGAAATGAACAGTATTGGAAAATCTTAATCTTAAAAAGCAATGAAGTTATTCAGGATAGTTCCAGGGTATAACTTGAGGCAATGAAGAAACTCTGCAGAAAAGGGGGAAAGACATGGGCAGCAAGCAGTCACATCGTTAGCAACAGATTTTAATGTAAATTGGGCTGGAGGCAAGAGATTTTTTTATCAACCAGCTTCCTTGCTAGGAAGCAAGTGGTAAGAAAAGTGGAGGGCTGCAAGATTATAGTTTTCTGTTGTTACCCCTTTCCACCTCTAGTCTCCTTCAGTCTAAACTTTTGGGAAAAGAGTTTAAAGCATTTTAGGCTGCTTAGTTGGTTTGTGCCCTAGGTAGTCATTAAGCATATTACTGTCTTATTCCAAGTTCAGAGGRATATACCTTGTCATAAAAATGTATGTGAAGAAAATTTACTTAATTCTCATTCAAATTCTGATTAGTTTTCAAAATTGATTAAGAAAGGAGCACAGTTAACACAGGATAATTTAAAGTCATGGAGGGTTGGTAACTMAGTTTCATAGAAAAGGGGATACTCGACTGCCAAGACTCAGTGACCACACCACAGGGCTTACCCCTATGTGCTRGCTAGATGATGCTCTATTTCTGCCTTCAGAACCCAGTAGGGCATCTCCAACTCTCTTCGCATCAGCTTTTCAAGGCTTTCCTCACTCCAACTTCCAAGCCTTCAGGTGAGGTTAGACATCCCTTCTTGAATATTTTCTTGGTACTCTGACTCATCCTCAGTTTTACTCTTGAATTACCATGTGAATGTCTTGTGGACTCCACGAGATGCCGATGATTATGTCAGAGCAAAAACTGATCCACTTCCTTGGGAAATAATTTGGTTTGAACCCTCTTCCCCAATGACAGAATCGTGTACAGAAAGAACATAGCTTCTTTTATTCAACAATAATATTGAATAGTCATCATGTTCCATGTTTTACACCCAAAGCCCACCTTAAAATGGGTTCTTAAGTCTTACATACATGTATGCAAAATCTTGATGCCGCCTAAAACTTCCCCGAGTGACTTCTAAGAGTTTCCAAAGATTTTTTTTTACATGTRATGAAGTCATGAGAATTTGTATTTTTTTTCCCCTACAGTCTTCTTATCAAGGTGCTTGGCAACTRCCTTGCTATAGGCATTTTCTCTGCAAATGCTCCTCCATTGCTGGGCATGGGGTATCTTCCCAGGTCATGATGCCTTCAGCTCTTGCCTTTCATACATTGGGCTCAGAACTAGCTCAGGACCTGCAGCTGTGAAATAGGGACAATGGGGCTGCCTCTTGTTTCCTATTGCCCTTATCTTCTATGTTTTCCCTTGTGGTCCTGGTACAAAATCTCCTTTATCATATTTTAGACAAAACCAATAAACATAAAATCCTTCAAGAGCTTTAGCATATTGGATCACACAGATATGTTTCCAGAGTGGTCACCAGGCTAACAACTCTCCAAATAGTGAATATGGGCAGGACAATAGCAATATTAAAAGCCTCAATAATAGGTAAATAGCATTTTCAAAATGTGGTGAAAATGGTGTCTCAAATACTGTTCATGTAAAATATGTTCAAATAAACATTCAAATAAACCATCTTAAAAAGTAACAGGAGGAAAAGATTTCTTTATTTTTTTATTTAAACACTAAAATATTCATCCTTTAAAAATATTTTTAATTGATGCAATAGGACATTTTAATATTATGCATCCAACGTGTATGATCAGATCAGGTTGAATGGCATATCTGTCATCTCAGACATGGATAATTTCTTTGTGTTGGAAAGTTTAGAATCCTCTCCACTAGCTCTTTTAAAATATTTAATGAATTGTCATAGTCTTCCTAGTGTGCTCTTGAATACTAGAAGTTACTCCTCCAATCCAGCCRTACCCATGTGTCTGTTAACCAGTCTCTCATCTTATTGTTGCTGAGGGCAAGGGGATTAAGCAGCAGGCTCAAGGTCAAGCCACAGTTTATCAGTTGATAAGAAGAGGTTGCAGTTTTGCTGACTCCATTGCAAAGCTGGATTCCCGGTCTACTGCTGCACATGCTTGCCATAGCTGCTGCTACTGTCTTAAGAAGTATAATCACTGTAAGCCTCTGGGGAAGAGAGAAGGGAAGACATCAGATTTCTAAGCTGAATTTCAAATGCTTTTTGTTAAGTTACTTATAAGTAATATTTGCAACTCATTTTAGAGATATATGGAAACTCTTAAATTAGAGCTCACAGACATTTATGTTGGTTGTTTGGATAAGGCATGCAAACATGCCTTTTTCTATCCTCATAATACCAATCATATTCTGTTTGTTCAATTTGCCTTTTCGTCTGCTGAGTTTTCTTGCTCTGAAAAAAGGCAATAATAATTAAATTGATTTAATTTATTTATTAAACAATAGAAAATACTAAAAAATTATATATATAATTTTTTAGTATTTTCTATTGTTTATATATATATGTGTGTGTGTGTGTGTGTGTGTATGTGTGTGTGTGTGTGTATCCCAGAATCAGATAAATCTTCCCACAAACTGCTCATTTGGTCTAGAGTCTAGATTCACTGGGGAGTAGAAAAGGAAAACCACCATGGTTTGTTGAAAGTGTCTCTTCTTGAATTCCCTTCTGAATTTTTATTTTTAGAACCACTACTGCAAAGAAGTACCCAAATTAGACCATTTTTAGCATCCCATAGAAATGCTATCATTCAGTCAAAGAACACTTGTTTATTGCAGTATTTCCCAAGTAGTATAAGTGGTATGTCAGATGATTTGTCTGCATTTTCTCTAATCAGCCACGGGAACATCTGGTAGTATCATAATATGGCCCTTATTTAAGGATCTATGGGATACATTCCTCCTTGGACTTAAAGTAAGGTACATATTCCTCCAGATAAACTCATATGGTTCCACCCAACAGACAGTAAGAACTTTAAAACCTTTTCCTGTCTTTGCTTCCCCTTTTTTCGACTGCCAGGACATTCAGGACTAAATTGATCAATTACAAAATTCGAATTTTTTTCATTGGATAATTTCCATTTTTTTTTCTCCTTTTGTGATTTTTTTAAAAAAGTTGTGCAATAATACTTGTTGAATTTACTTTTGTTCACAACGTTTAGCAATGGATAATAAAACACAAATAGGATTGGGATGTAGCACAGTCCACTTGCTTAGCATATACTATGTCCTGGGTTCAATGTGCAGCACTGAAAAACAAAAACACAAATACAAACAATATCCATAGCTGTGCCATCCCAAGATAACTGGTCTATATATTATTTCTAGACTTTCCCTTATTTCTATAAGAAGTATGTTTACGTAGAAATCAATGTCCTAGCATATGTGTCTTACAAACTGCTTTTTCATTTAGCTGTATGTCAAGATCATCTTTCTGTGCCGCCAAATACAGATCTATAAAGCAACTTTTAACGGTTGTATAGTTTTCTATTAYGTGGGTGTACACATCATAAATTTATTGACCTAGGTGCTTATTAGTATCTGTAGATTGTTTTATTTGCAAATTATAAATGTTTTAATTTAACTGTTTCATTTGTATCTTTTAAAATTTTAGGATAGACCCCTAAAATTATCTTTTAAAATGGATGGGTAGAATGAATGAATGAATGAATAAAATCTCAGGAATATCCTGAATGTCTGTAACTATAATTAGCCTGCATTAGCATTATCATGTATTTTTCACAGTGGTGCTGTTAATTCCTGAACTATTTTTTTTTCTCTCTCACTAGGTCTCAAYCAAAATGAGTGAGACTCCTTCCACTGGTTTTTCCATGATTCACCCGAGTTCTTCTGAAGGTCAAGTTCRTTCTCCTCGCCACTTACGCATCACTCATCCTGTTGTGGCCAAACGGATCAGCTTCTATAAGAGCGGAGACCCCCAATTCGGCGGAGTCAGAATGGTGGTCAACCCTCGTTCCTTTAAGAGCTTTGATGCTTTGCTGGACAACTTGTCCAGGAAGGTGCCCCTGCCTTTTGGGGTGAGGAACATCAGCACGCCTCGGGGAAGGCACAGCATCACGAGGCTGGAGGAACTGGAGGACGGTGAGTCCTACCTGTGCTCCCACAGTAGGAAGGTGCAGCCTGTGGACCTGGACAAGGCTCGCCAGCGCCCCCGGCCGTGGCTCAGCAGCCGCACCCCGGGCGCGCAGGCCCAGGGTCACCCGGTGGTGGCCRCGGCTCCGGGCTTGCTGCGCGCCCCCAGGCGCCTAGTGGTTTTCCGGAATGGCGATCCAAAGACGAGGTGCGCCGTCCTTCTGAACAGGAGGGTCACACAGAGCTTCGAGGCCTTTCTGCAGCACCTGACAGTGGTCATGAAGTACCCGGTTGCCAAGCTGTACGCCACGGATGGAAGGAAGGTGAGCGTCCAGGCTGGGGGTCTCCACGAGGCTGAGCGGGCATCAGGAGCCTGCGGGG